GCAAAAGCACTGTAGGGCTGTCATGAAGCATGCTTCAATTTCCTCCTATTAGGTTATGTCTCTATGTTGGCCAAAAAAAGGGGCATGCCTTATGACTCTATTGAAGATTAAAGCAAGTTGAGGGAGGGGTGTCGAATAATTCAACGTCCTTAATTAACAATTATCCAACATGTTTACTATTCAAATTTGAAATTGTCTTCAATAGTGGGGACGAGAGAATGATTAAAAAAATTTTAATTAGGGTTTGTGTGTGAGAAAGTTGATCACCAAACACAATAATTGGGAGGAAAAGTTTAACTTAAGTGTGTGGATGGTGTGGCTCGAGGCATGATATGTATGTGATTGTTAGGTTCCCTGCCTTTTTCTCATCCATTTTTGTGTGTCATGGTTGTTCATATTTTACCCACTTCACTTGATGAATAATGAAATACGAATTAATTAATCAATGAAATCATAAATTAATTAGTTAAAGATTTAAAAATTGAGATTTTACCGCTTTAAATGATAGGTTCTACTCTTGCATATAGGGTGTTTTTTTTTTTTTTTTCAGTATTTCTTAAGTTGTATGTACTGTGCTTAATTATTCTAATATGTAATATGTACACTTCACACTTGTGTTCCACATTAAAAAAATTAATTATGTAATTCACTAAGGGAATGGCTGGTGACTTGGACAGCAGGCTCCCCACGGCCTAGGTTATTTTTATAATTTTCATTGAGACCATCAAATTTGACCATGCATCCACATGCAGAAATAAACAGATGAAACCGAACAACAATGTTCCAGATTATACAAATATTCAAAGACTACGATTGCTTAGTTCTTAGGTTCCGTGACGTAATAGAAACTAGACCCAACAATTCTCGAACGGTCAACAGTTATTTTCCATAGTAGTTTTTGTAATGGGATAGAATACACATTATATTTTTAATAATAAGTAAGTTATTTTACTTTTAGTTGAAAAAGAAAATTTTTTACAATTCAACAACTTAAAACTAAAGAATCAAGTTGTTAGATTGTTGAATTCTATACAAATAAAGTCTTTTCTATATATGGCTTAAAAATAAAAAATTAAGTTGTGTTTTTTTTTATCAATACTAGATATTAAAATCAATGGAGTATATATAAGTGATTATTTAATCTCAAAGAATTTTAAAGAGTTACAAATTACTGAAGAAAAGTATGAATTGAATTTTTTTTTATTTCTTAAATGACATTTTTACTAATTAATTTATTTATAAAATTATTATTTTGAGACTTTATTCGGAACTGTATACTTTTGTAGTAGTACATATTTCTTAATAATATATTAGTTTTGCTGATAAAAAAAAAAATTCAACAAAAACTACGTGGGTTTTTTTTCCCAAGTCGGTTTGATACGCTTAGGATGGAGTACAGCTTTGAATGTTGGGATCTAGACAGGACAGGGGGGACAAGGTTCAGAGATAGGATGGATTAAATTTGAATTGGTGGACTTATACAGAAGGTGTACGTATTAGAAAGAGCTGTCGTAATTTCTCCAAAATTGTTATATTTTTGTTTGGCCTTGGACATAATTGTAGGCTATGAGCCCGACATCCCGAAGCGGCCTCTGGCTCGGCCGTATCCCCAAGATTATGCACCATGTCTCCTCGCCCATGACCTTCTCCTTCCCTACTCTGCCATGCACGTTTCATATATACACAGTACCTTTGAAATGACCTTTCATAAACCATGCTATGGTGACACGTTGGGAACATGCATTTGACCACAGAATCATCAGCGCTCCAATTAAGACAAACTCCCTGCTCCTGGTTGATCCAAAACAATGCCATGCAACCACACAACAAGATGACTCTTTTCCTATTATATCAATTAGGTTGGTTTTTATTAAAATTAGCTTGTCATGCATCAGATGGAATTAATCTATCTTTTCCGTACATATAAGAATATGACTAAACAATGTGGGATTCTTTTCTCGCCTGTCTAAAATTTGATCTAATCAATGTTTAATTAATTATCACAAAAATTTGAATAGTTAATCAACTTTAACTCAAACTTTTCTTTATTAGACATTGATACATATATTCTCTTTTTTAACACTATTTACAATATATTTATTAAAAATCATTATTTTTCTATCTAAAATTAAAAGTAAAAAACTTAAAAATACAACTATGTTACGATATAAAAAAACTAATTAAATTGACTATATCTATATTATATTTTAATAATTGAACTAACTAAATGTTAACATGCATGTCCAACCAAAAGGTATCTAAGTCATTTTCCTTAACATTAAGGGTAAAAAATAAAGATTAACTATACAAGATGCTTGATCAATATCATGTTCATCAACAATAAGAACATTACTCATGATCATTCAAACATTAAGTAATAAGATTAGAATGATATAAAACAGACAATGCTACCACAACAACCGCCTTATTCCCTCTAAAACATGAACAGTTCAAAATTTCAAAGAGCAGACATGCATACTAGCTACCAAGCAGTGTTTTCCCTCCGGATCCTGTTTGCCAACCATTTTGCAAGATCCGACCGGATTCGTATTGGGTAAAGTAATAAGCCTCATGGGTCGCTCCAATCGGGTCAATTCCAGCTAGACATGGCATAAAGTGAATCTGACTTTCAACTGTTGGTCAGGTGCGACAACTGCATGAACCGAACATGCAGTCCTCTGTTAGTGCACCGAAACTGTCCCTTCATGGATATGTGTTTTTTGGTGGGTACGTCGGTCAAGTCATGCATAAGAGGACAAAATGTACTGAAACTTAAGGCATGGTAGGCAGTAGGGACTGCCTTGACCATAGTAAGGTCCAAGGATAAGAATTAAGAACAGATTTTGGACGCCTTGCCACGTATGTCTATTACCATTCCTGGCCATGATGACCATATCATCATATTCATCATCATTCATGCATGCATGTATGTTACAGATTCGTTCATGCATGTAAAGTAATATAATGTAAGCTAATTAAGGTCATTTATTATCAACATTGCTTTTTTTTTTTATTTAAATTATTAGATAGAAGGCAAGCTTTATAATATTAGACATTATTTTTTATTTAATAATTCTTCTTTTATAATTTGATAAATTTAAATTGTAAAATACAAATTTTAAATAAATTTTATTAAGAAAGCATAAGAGAGAATATTCTAACCCGTATTATACATAACATTAACTAGTTAATTTTTGGCGCTGATACCCCACAAGCTCCCTCAATGCATAAACTGATATGGTTTTATGCTAATGTTACTTAAATTTTGGAATAATATAAGGTTTTTTTTTTCTCTATTTATATTTATTAATTCTGTATTTTATTTAAAAAATCAGTTACAATAGTTAATTAATTGAAATTGTTATAATTGGAGTGCCAATTAAAAGTTGGATGGATGATCCTTAATCTCAAAACGTAAGGCATGCCAAATGTGTGATAAACAAGATCAGGCCAGCACTTGGATTCTCATGTCTCTGCTTTGTGTCCAATTATGTTGCATCCATTTTCATGCTCTCATCCAAGGTGCGTGTTATGCACCAATTTGATTATTTTTGGATGCACGCGGTTTGAGGAAAGTAGGTGTGGGTTGAACGACACATAAGGACATATCCCTTAAGCGGATGGATTTGTGGCCAAAGGACAGTTAGGCAATGGAGAAAAAATACATTGTTTTTCGGCATTTTGTGAAGAATTCCAGGTAAAGCATCTAATAAAAGCTTCAAACCAAATTTTGAATGGAGAACATGTCTTCACTTTCCACAATTTGGTGGAGGTTGGGGGGTTTTTGTCATTTGAACATCTCGTTGACTAAACGCACCTCAAAGTTCATATTTGGTTAGTAGTAGGATCATAAAGGTATTCAATGGTACGATGTTCAATAATTTATTGTGTTCGAAATCCAACTTAAAGTGAGAATTCTTAAATAGCTCAAGTGATTATCTATTTATTATTAAAGACATCTCACTTAACTTAAAGTGAGAATTCTTAAATGGCTCAAGTGGTTATCTATTTATTAATAAAGACATCTTACCTAAAATGTGAGATTTCGAATCTCATCCCTTTCAATCTTTTTTCCCTAACTCCCCATGTTAAAAAAAAGAAAAAAAGAAAAAAAAATCATGCTTTAAGTAAACTCATTTTAAAAACAAGTTATATATAATATTTTAATCAAACTACTTATGAGTAGTTCACAGATATTTTAAAATTAAATTTTAAATTCTAATTTGTTTATTAACTACCTTGTAGCAAGTGATTCATAAATGACTTGACCAATTTACGATCCTAGGTGGAAAAAATGATTATTCCTTAGTCAAATCATTAAAATAAAGCAAAAGAAAAAATTTGGAATTTGTATTCTTCAAAATTAATAACTTTCTTTTAGATTAAGGGGAAAAAAAAAAAAGAAACATATATTATTTAAGGCAACGTGCGTGGCAACTGTTATTCTTAATCAATGACGTCTGGATGGAACAGTAGGATAGAAGGATTCAAACACAAGCTATTCCATCTCAGTATGTGCTTGAGGTCCAAAGTCGTAGACCACAGAAGAAAGAAAAAGAACTAAACAAAAATGCAACAGTTTCCATTCCCTCATAAACCAAAATAGAAACACAAATACATGCCAAACACCGTGTGTCCATAGCAGTCACACTTCTCTTTGAGAAGTAATGGCATCCCTAGTGAGATAAAGTTCGAGTTCTAAGATTGATACTTCCCTATCCCCTAAAAGCAGATACTAATATTATTAGTATAATTCATACTAAAAAAAAGAGAGAAAAAGACATAAATACATGTGCACAATTCACAATTTTGATGGAAAATTATATCTGAACACTAGTTAGTTCAGAAATCAGAACCTTAATTTAGGAGTTAGAATCCCAACAATGAATAAATACAAAGCCAATCTTCCTTGTCAATAAATAAGATATATCTTATGAGAAATAACACGTATTCACAGGCCAAAAGATCATATCAGAAATGCAATAATTTGGAGAGACTAAAATCACATCAAGAATTCATTCATAAAATAAAAAGGATGCAATACAATCAACATAAAGTCAAATAAAAAAAAAAAAAGAAAGAAAGAAGAAGAAGAAAATAAAAGAAAGACCTTTACTTGCCCAAGAGGAAGCACAAAAATTGACTGTTCAATGAAAGAAAAAAAATTGAAGGCCCCTAGCAAGAAACTTGATCACCAGAAATAAAATCTTCTGTCGAGATCATATAAGCAGCCCCAGATCAAACAGAAGATACTTTTTGTTACTGAACAGCATCATGGAGTTAGTTTGCTAGGGTACGAGTTCTGCTGCTTTCTGCATTTCTAACTGGGTAGAAATAAGAATGGGCCTGCATGAAGTTTGATTTCCAATTAGGAAGTTGCACAAGTCTCAACAAGCTGAGGTTGCTTATAAGGAGCAATAAAATGAACAGGGTAAATGATTATATTTTTCTGATCGTAAGTTCTTGATTCAGAAAGAGGATAGATTTACCATTGCTTCTTTTGCAGTTGGCCTCTCCTGGTGATCATATCGCAGCAACTTATCAATGAAATCAACAGCCTTCAGGTAAGGATGGACATGTTAAAAGTAGAACAAAGTACTAGAGATAAGATTGTCATTGCAAATATTTTCCAAAGTAAAATACCTCAGGTACTGCTAAATGTTGATTCTCAGCATTGATGAACTTAGACCAAGGTTTCCGGCTATGCCTGTAATTAAGACAAGATGTCTGTCAACTGAAATTACTGCAGACAGTATCATCAACATTAACAAGAGTTCATCTAACCAACCTCCCAACAAGTGTTGCCAGATGTGGGTCCAATTCTATTCGATACTTATTCAAATATGCATATAATTCATCTGTCCCAAGTACCTGTTGCAGAAAAAAGAGAAAAGGAAGAAAATAAGTACAAAAACCAATTTATACATTCAATACTAGGACTCTCAGCATAGGTGTTATTTCAATTACAATTTTATTTGTCTCTTTAAGTTGGGAAGGAGTGGATGAGGGAATGGAAAACACTCCATCTCACCCAGAATAGTATGGTTGAAAGCCAAGCTCTTATACATGACGTAAAGAGATAAAATAGATTCCGAACCAGCCTTGTTGGTCCAACAGTTCACATTCACTAAGTCCTGGGTTCAAAGTTCAAACCCAGCCATTGACAATCCTCCATCCCCCTTGTAAAGTTGTAATTTCCCTTGTTCAATAAAAATATCAGGCGATTCCTTGTTACTCAAAAATTGATCTAATGGCTACATACCTTTGCAATTTTAACCAGTTGATCATAATTATCATGCCCATAGAAGAATGGCTCCTTACGAAATATCTGCACAGCACAAACATCAAAAATAAAGATCTAAAGACAGATCACTGAATGACCCAGCCATTATAACAGATTTCTAATCCAACTTGTGAATTGCCACCCATGGATAATAATATGCAAACAGATCAAGATCCAATCACCAAGAAGATATTCTATCCCACACTTTTTTTTTTTTTCTAAATATATAAAAATGGTCTAATGAGAAAAACCCACTTGCAAAAACATCACAAATGAAAATGAAAATACTCTGTTATATGAAGTGGCAGGGTATGAACCATGGAATCCCACCTCTTCAGAGTAAATTATCTGGGCTAGAAGAGAAATAACAAATAGGCATTACTCACCATTCCAGCAAACATACAACCAAGGCTCCACAAATCTAAAGAGTAATCATAGTCTTGCAAATCAACAAGAAGCTCAGGACCTTTAAAGTATCTGCAAACCAGAAACATTAATCAATTTGTACAGAAGTCAGGCCAGAAAGGAGGAAAAAAAATAAAATAACAAAACAGAAAAGGCTAAGACCTGAACAAGCTTAAGTTGATAGACATTAGTAAGCCTCCTATTTCAGAAATAACATAAAGCAGGCAACTCATGTCCATTTTTCTCTTTAAAAAACTCATCTTCAACAACCAGATTACCTCCATCCATCTTTGCAAAAGTATATACCAAAATCAATAAATAAAAAGGCTCAACTTTATGGTCACAAAAGCTTCTAGTTGCATGCCATAAATATAACCAAAGATCATTCCCCTTTATTTTCTGGGAAAGTTATTAGGTGACTCATAAGCTAAGACTAAAAATCCCTATAAAGCCTTATCCAAATGTCCACTCAAACTGTTCCATATCTTATGCAGCATCAGAGATAAATGTCTAACATGAATCAAGCCATTATACTGGAATAACAAGCATAAAAATATTTGCTTAACTAGTGGTAAACTATAAAAATAAAGAAAAACAATATTACAATAACAACATAATCACGTTTGGATTCTTATTTCACAAAAAAAAAAAAAAAAATGAATATGGTTCTCGCCTTAAATCCATAATGACACAAGGATGCCACAACTCACCTCACACACACAACAATAGTAGAACTGCTACATTAAAATCAAGACTAGTAACTCAGAAATAAGTAGGTAAATTATTATCATCATCAATATGTAGATACTAAGCAAAATCGAAACTTATTCAAAAGTAAGTCCTCTAACTCACATGTCACCAGGAATAATAAAAGGAAAAATTCCTTCCCAAGACACAGCTAATCCAGTAGGATGAAGGTATGGAATTATTTTTACTCGTAATTTTGAAATGCTACCATATATAAGGCAGTTCAGCAACAGGAACTGCCAAAAGCAAAAAAAAATTCAGCACGTAATTAAAATATGACAACAAACCTTGAAGCAACACGGACATTGTATTCTTTCTCAGGATGATAGAACTCTGCAAGGCCCCAATCAATAAGACGAAGTTTCCGCTGCTCATGATCAATCATCACATTATGGGGCTTTACATCTCGATGCATGATACCCTGTGAGTGGCAATAATCCAGTGCCTAAAAACAAAGATACATGTTAAGTATCAATGCTGATATTATGGAAATTGGACCACTAAACCAGTGGAAAGAGACTTGGAGAGTAAGCCAAACAACAGCACTGAGCAGTTAATTGGCTGGCTGCTGATTAAGGGAAAAAAAAGATGGGTAGCTGACAATCTACCAGATAATTCATAAAAATACCAGAGACAGTGGCATTGAACATGAGTTACTAGATATAACTTTGGCTCAATTGCCTAAAGGAAGTAGAACAGTGCTTAGATTGACAGACAGTAAAATGGGAAAATAAGAAGAAGAAGATTCAGAACATGAGAAAAGCTTTGGCATCATAAATTTCTTTCGAGAAAATGGAAACAATAACAAAAAGGTATCAACCAACCCAGGAAAATCATCATATAAAAGGGTCATTTGCAAAAATCACTGCCACAGAAGTGAAGTCCTGTAAGGTAACTGTTATAATATTAGATGTAAAGTAATTGTGTTCCAATACTTAAGATGACTGATGCAATCAAACCAAACCAGAACAAATTAATCACAACATGCATCTGTAAAAGAACATGAAACTTTCTAACAGCATATGCTTCTATTCCTCTGATACAATACAATACAATAAATTACCATCTTTTCTTAAACAAAATTCAACAAATTGCATGCTCATCCTGGCTAACAGAGCTACGTTTTTATTATTTTTTTCCTCTTGAATCAGATGTAAGCTCATGTACACATTGATGTCAATGAAAAAGCTCATCATCTAATCCCACAATCAAACACTAACAGAAGACATGACTACATCCTGTTTATTGCAAATTTTCCTGAATTAAATGATCTCCATAGATGATCAATCAAACAAAATTTTACACCTTGCAAAGCCTTTATGAATAGAATAAACTTCCTACGTGGCAACACAACATCCAACAGAGTCATAAAAACCCTACCACCTAATCTTCTAGATTATGATAGAAATGCATATTTTCCCCCCTTTGGCCAAATGTTGTGTTACATAACAGAAGGTACATCCCCAACCCCCAATTCCCAACTCCCTCCCAACCAGTTAAAATGCATTTGAAATTTCAAAACTTGCTGACACTTAAAGACATTCATTCAAACTAGAATTACACATGTCCTTTCTATCCTATAAATTAGCATGAATATTCACAAACGCTAAAACTACTTTGCATTTTCCATCTTATTAATTGAAGAAATAAGGAAATCCTTTCCTTACCTTCAGAAGTTCATAGATATAATATCTAATGTCATAGTCTGACAGTGTTGGATAAAGCACTTTGAAATCTGTATTATTCACATATTCAAAAATAAGACTTGGAGTCTTCGATTGCTGATCTCTAACGATATCAAGCAACTTCACAATATTAGGACCACCACAAAGGTTCTGCAATATTTTAATCTCCCTCTTAATCTGCATTATATGGAAGAAATGAAACCAGGTTACACAACAGAAAATAGTATAAACCACTGAACAGAGAAAGAACAGAGAAACAACAGTGCTTAACAATAGAAAGGAGGAAATGATAATGCTGAGCAAACCTTCTTCTTCTTCACTGGTTTGAGAATTTTGATAATGCATTTCTGATTATCGGTGCAGTGAAATCCCTCAAACACCTCACTGTATTTCCCCCTCCCTACCTTCCTTACCACCTCATAATCATCCTGCTCCCTGTATAATCAAATAAACCATCTGAAAACACAGCTCCATTTGGGTTACGAACAGAATGTATTCTTATTGCAACCCGTAACCAGAAACAACTATTTTCAACTCTCTTTTTTTTTTTTTTCAAATTATGCATCCTTCCTCAATTAAAATCATGCCTCAACTAATTACAGGAGAGTAATTTCTCCGCGATATCTATGAATTCAATGAGAACCCTAAGATTCTAATGCAGCAAACATCAGTGAATTCAAATTCAGGAAAATAACGCGTGCATATACATTGTCAGAGGCACAGATGCATTCACATACGAATATGCAGAAAGAGAGGAAAAGCAAAGTATGGAGAACGATACCCCCACTGAACGGTGAGATTCTCATAATCCCAGTAGTCCTTGGGACGGATGACGTTGACATCGGCGTAAACCCTAGCTTTGGAGGGGGCGCCAGGGCGCCTTATCGATTTACCGATCTTCTGCGCCAGATTTTCCACTCCTCTTAGCTCCCTGAGAAGCTGCTCTCCCTTTTGCCTTTGGTGAGAGAGCGGCGCCTTCGACGCGATTTCCCGGAAGAAGGAGATGAGGTGGAAACGAGGATTCCTTCGGTAGGCGGAAACTGACAATGAAGGAAAGACTCGTGTTGATGTCGTTGATGATGCCGCCGCGGCGGTTGTATTGGCGGACGAGCGGAAGAGGAGGGAGAGAGGATGGCGGTGGCGGTGATGAAGAACAGAGGTTGTTATGAATTGGAAGGGCCTAATGGCCATTTACAGCTTCAGAAAAAAGGGGGCAGGTTACCCGGAAAGGGGCATTAGAATTATTTTGCTCGTATCTATCCTCCCTCTCTTTTTTTTTCTTTTTTTTTTTTTTTAATGTGACGTTCCATTTAGCATGTTCTTCTGGACTGGGCTAACTGGTGGGCCAGTTGAGCAATTTAAGACTGATCCACTTGGAAAATATATTGATTTTTTTTTATTTCTTGGACGTTTTTTTTTTTTTTTTGGGAAATAG